CTACAGCGCGCTTGTGTTTCTGACGCCTCTTTTGGGCAGCGACCCTTACCTGGGCAGGGGTCTGGCGTGTTGACAGATATCCAGGCCCACAGTGTCGGCCCTTCGCACTGGCTGGGTTACAGCAAAGGCATTAACCATATTCCCAAACGGCTGGCTGGCCTCATTCTGCTCGATCTCCCATTACAGACAAATTCCATTATATCTGAAGCTAAATAGATTCCTCATTTTGCGTGCCTTTTTTTTAACTTACTTAAAGCCCATTGCAGAGGCTCGGCCCTCTGATGAGCCTGCAATACGCTGCCCTAATGCATGCTTAGCATCAGCCTTTCAAAGTGCAAGGGAGCGTGGCAAGTTCCTGCAGGTGGTAGTGGAACCAGCGGTGTTAACCAGCACTCGGGATCACTTGCCAATCGCGCCACTCGCCTGCCTGGATTAGATAGAGGTAACAGCACAAAGGCCAGAACACCTGCAGAACAGCTGGCATTTTCAGGGTGCTGTTGCTGCAGTGACATGAGAGCTTCCTCAGTTTCTGGGTAGGCTGAGCTTCAGTGAGAATCCTCAGAAAGAATTTCTCCTGCACTTACAAACTTGCCAGTAAACGCAGTGTTTACAGTTGCTCCATTTCTTGGATCACCGTCCTGCTGGTAGGAGGCATCTGCCAAAGGTCACCGGTTCCCATGCAACTCTTCTTTTTTGGTTTCTCTGGGCTTTGGTGTGAATCAGAAGAGCAGAAATCTTTTTTATTTCCAAATCAAAACAGGTTCTACTGAAAAAGGTTTGCTAGGCATGCTAGCAGCGTAAGTTGGCTGCGTGAGTGGATTTCTGTCAGCTTCTTCCTGGGAAGTGTGACTTCTTTTTTTTTAAGTAGGTTTAGTATCATTTACCTTTCAGACTAATCTAGGTGTTAAACGACATAAACTGGGAATTTACTACATGACCCCATTCGTTGTACACCATTTGATAATGCCTTTTTAGCGTAGGTGACTGATGTGCTTGTAGAGTGGGTGGGAAGGAGTGTGCGTTAGTGCTGATGTCTTGGCTTATTGATAGTGAATTACAACACTTCTCAGGGATTTAAATACATGCTTAATGAACCTGGCTATGGGAATGGGCTTGACTTGTTCACTCTCTCTGGGTGAGACTCCTGCAGCCAAGGCAGAGGGGATGCAGCAGTGAAAGAGGCCCTTCCCCTGGGGTCTGCTTACCGCAGCGGGGGCGGTGGGAATGGCTGCAGTGCGAGCAGTGAGTCAGTGTCAGACTCAGCCCCCAGCGGCACCGGCACTGGCACCGCAGGCGTGGGGTTGATTCAGACATCGTGCGGGCTGGCTGTCACACGCCAGCAGCCTTGCTCTTGCTGGCTTCACACCGAATGCC